TTAATACAGTAACAGTGGAAAATGAATACAAGGAACAAAAATACTGATCGATATTGGAAAGAGGAAACATTGAGGTGGTGAAGAAGTGGCGTGATATTAGCTTGGGGTGATGCGCCAAAAGCAACTCGTACAGCGCGCCGGTGGAGTACTCCCATCACAAAAGAAGTACGCAAATGATAGCAACGATAGCGGACAAGATCTGAATGAGACAGATCAAGACTAGTGCCAGATATCTGCCTACAGTCCATTCAGATAAAAAAAATGATATCCTAGCTTCTGGCCATAAGTGGGTCAAAGTTTGAGTTTTCGTCTAATTTTTTGACAATCCTCCATGGAATGCTCATCCAATTGTGTTTTTGAAGTCTTTTTTACCAAATAGTTAGCCATAACAAGATAAGGATTTCGGCCAGGCTTTGCCCCCAAAGCACTGAATTGGGGAAAAACCATGAAAATCCAGGCCGTTCACTCCACTTGCATAACAGTACATTTCGGGTTCGAACCTCTGTTGAGGTACCTTTTTGGACCCTTTTTCAAGTTTCGAATCTCGCGGCATTGCAAAGTGTACAACAAAATCGGCCAATACGGGAGCTCTCCAGAGCCAGCGCTCATCTTTTTCTGAATGGACTGTAGTCAATACAACCTGTGAAGCTATGAGAATCGACCACCAATGCACACGTGGCCTCCACAACACGAAGTACATCAGCATAGAACGTTGAAGACAGTTGGCTATCCTTGCTGTATGCACGCGCACGCCCCCCCCCCCCCCACACAAAAACAGATACACCAATTATGTGCATCAATTTAGTATGTAGGGAGGTCCATTGTATGGACCCAAGAGTGAATGGTGTGCCATGCTCAAACCGTGTTCTGGAAAAAATGCTTAAGGTGGCTCACACCCTCTGCGCGCGCATCGTTTGAAAAGTGTAGATTTTCAGTAAATTTTTCGGTAGCGATGATTTTTGTGCGATCAATCGTTGTTGAACGTCTTCTCGCTTTTTTGCAATTCTGGCGACCTAGCTAGAACCTGCTGCTAGTGTCACTCTTCACTCGTTCTTTCTATGAAAGGGGAAGGCAGCACTCGCAGAAGATTTTCCAAGAATGCAATGTCGACTGGTGCTCGTACCATAAGAAGGGAGAAATCAAAGTCCGCTCTTGAATCATGCCTGAGTATTAGAAAATTATTTCAGAACACGCTTGTGTAGATTTCCTGCCAGTGCCACTGACATCTCGCGACCTTCAAAATATTATAACTTGCTCGATCATCTCCCGCACTGACTGGCAAATTCGTCAGGTAGCTGTGGATGGATCGATTCAGGGAGATCGAAGGTAAATACATCGAAGCACCTCAAACACGCTTCAAGACGCACTTCAAATTTTGTAATTGTGTCTTGAAAATTGTTTAGAACAATTCGACGGGACTTCAATACGCTGTTGAATTGTATCCTCTGCTTGGGAGTCTCGACTGCTTTATTGCTGCATGGCTTTCCTCAACACCGTTCACTGTACATGAATCGCGGAACGCAGATTGGATGGCACTGGAGGTGAATTTGATAATTTGTGACTGTGTCATCAACCAAGTGAGGACATCAAATATCAACAGGGACGCTCCGAAAATCGTAAACGCTGCGAAATAGATATGAAATGGTCTTACGCATTGGTGGGTATTCCACATTCATTGTGTCATATCTTTAGACTGTCCGAAAGTTTGTCGTGCCGTGCAACTTGCACAGACTAATCCGATAATTGGCATGTGGCCCTACTGGCACACACTCATGCGTATGCCGTTGAGTTTATCTATATGTGCACGCACATGTGTGTATACATATACAATTTTATTACGTATGCAAAATTAGGCAATCTACATGTACATATATATGATTGTGTGTGCGCTCACTCCTGTGACATAGAACGACAGTGCAGGCTATGTAAAGTCGCATCAATGTGTGTCACCCGGGTGCACGGTGTATATGCATGCGCGCTCGCGCAGGCGTTTTGTGTGCGCGCCTGGCATGGCATAACGCCGTTCAGTATGACTAGTGTTGAACCGTGATAATTTGCCCCCACCCCCTCTTTTTTCTGCTGCCGTTGGATATGTAACTAATGACATAAACTCGGTTGTTGAGTGCCATGCACCACAATGGATTGACAATAATAATAATACAAGTAGCACTGTAAAAGCGCTGGTAATACTTATGTTGCAGCCATGGCAGTTGTGAGTAGCTTTCCAAGTCAAGCCTGCTGCATAAATTATTGCACTCTGACCAGCTGGAGTGGCCCAGGACTGCCGGTTGTGGAGAACAGGAGTGATGCTTGTATATACGCTTGTATTTACATGATGTACACAGTGTACTTCGAAGTAAGGTTAGGTGTATTACTTGTGTGTTCTTCGCCTGGGCGCGTGTACAGGTGCTGGTCAGTGCGAAACCGCCATCCATATCAGATCATACAGCTGCTATCAGTCTCAACAGCTTGTATCTGGCAAATAGGGTTTTAGTGACTCGATTTTGCTTACTGTGTTCAACAGAGTGGCATTGCACACAGCTACTTGATGTAATAGTAGCATCTTGGACATTTTATATTTTTGATAGTTAGCTTCAGTAGAAACTTCTCCAGTGTGGCTCTTAGCTTCATTACCACGGAGACTAAGCATTCAAGTAATGCACGAAGAACAGTGGCTAGATGTGCTAGTGAAAAGCCATTGGACCGTACCCCGTGGAATACGCATTTAGTATAGAAGTATTTCTTGCTATGTTGGCAGCAAACACTGTATTATAATAATTACATTGCCAGTAGAAAGTGCCCAATGTGCATTGCTTCAGCACTATGTTTTGGACAAAGCAGTCAACAAATTCCACATCACTATCGGCTTCATGTTGGAGAAAGTTGGGAAAAACACTAGAGCATACATGTACACTCAATACACATGCTCAGCTACATATATGGGCCTCAACCAGCGAAAACAGCCCTTAGGGTCAAATTTTTCAAAATTCCTTTTTGGTTAGAAATTTGTTGAAACACATCTACTGAAGGACCTCAGCCAAGAAAAAGTTCAATATTCCGATTCAAAACGGGTGTATACACCAATATACAAGTTGTACTCCAAATTGGTGCAATGTATGTATACGATGTATGTGTACAATAAATATTAAGCATTAATTTTTTAGGTGGGTAGGCAGCTTGGATACCTTTGAAATAGCGCAGTAAGCAGCTAGAATGGCAAAGAATAGCGGAAGAGTGCGGAGACATGATCGACTTATTTGCAGCTGCATCCTGCGTGGAGTCGTTCCGCAATGCCTTCCATTTCTTCCTGCGCAGCTGACGACCCGACGTCGCTGCCGTCACTAGCCCCAGACTCAGAATTTATCTCAGGTGAGGACTCCTCATCTTCCGACTCTGACGAGTCATCGACCACCTTGAGCCGCAACGCAGCAGGAGATGACGGCTGCGATTCCGCCTCGCTGTCGACATCGATGTCGGAACCAAAGAACGTCTCATCCTCACTCTGAACTTCAGCGGCTACTTCAGCATCCACTCCCCACCAGGCTCGAGCTAGCTGTACACAATGACTGCCGCGTGTGCTCTGCGAACAGCTCTGGCGTCCGCAGCCATCGCAACAAGATCAAGGAACACTCGAGTCGCCACTCGACACCACTTCAACTAACTAATTACTTCAAATGAATTCAAGCAAGGAGATCAAGAAGACCTCGTCGCGCTGTTCGCAGCGCGATCAAAAAATCGTTGAACGTCACAAATCGACCTTTTTCTTGAAAAAATTACGAAACCTCCTAAGGCCGATTCCACACTACGCCGAAAGTGGCTTTGCCTTGAAGGCATAAAGTGGCTTATAAAGTGAAGCTGCATTCACACCTACAAGTGTCGATCACGGGACTTTGCTTTGAAGGCTAGACTGTGAGGCTTTCCTGTGCATGATCTAGCAACGGCGGTAGTGGAGAGGCTCTTTGATGGTCCAAATCCTCGAATATCACCCATTTTCGCGTGCCCAATCTTGAAATTTGACCACGCTAGCGCGCTGTGTAGGCGGATTCCAGATCACAGGTCGAATATTTGTCAACCTCGCCAACAGGCATTCCGGTGGCAGTTTTGGTTGTGTATGTCTCGTACAGTCCTTTCGCCTTCGTGTTCATGTTGTCGATTTTGGAATGGACGATCGACGCAGTGTAGATTGCCGCCTCCCGGAGCTGTTCAGCAAACAAAATTCAGCTTGATGGCGATCTCCTCCTGCGTAGCTCCTGCGAACTGTACCGCCCGGAGGTTGCCTCAAATGTCCACTCCAAAGCTCGATCAGCTTGTCCTCAAGCTCCTGGCTAAACATGACTGTTTGCGCCGGTATTCTCACTCACAACACAGAGTCTGAGGTTTATAGAATATTATCACTAGGAGAAGACTGTATCCATTGCAAACTGATTGCAATACTTCAAAAAGGCTAGCTACTACCTGGTAGTAACAGAAACAGCCAAAGACAAAGAACACAACAACTGCACCAGCAAGCTCTTTCCTTGCACTAACTACAAATACATCAAAATCAAGCAGCAAAATGCAAATCCGCACGGATGTTTGCCGGAACTGAACTTCCGTAGCGCAGCTGATCATTGCGGCTGCACGGGACGACCATCCCACCACAGTAGGGCAAAGAACTATGCATGGAACTAGCAAAGAATGCATGCAGCATACCAGCATGCTGTTCCTACGCAGACGTCTAGTCTAGCGTGAGCAAGGATGAATAGCATGAGAAACCAGCGGGTGTAGTATGAAAGGCAATGCAGCAGTTATGAATAGGGACATCAACAAGACACAACACACAGTAGTCATGAGCAGGCTGAGGTAACTGAGAGCCGGGGAACAGTACAGACATGTGCACAACAGCACCTAGGTTTACTACTACCCAAGGTTATTCATGTCTTGGTCTAAACTGAGCAAGTTACTAGTGGAGATCTGCGGGATGACTTGGTCGTACCAACATCCTCCCCCCGGTGACGTCTTCAAGCGTCACCCTCATTCAGAACGTCCAGCACACAGATCTTTGACACCGGCCTGCGGTATGTCCCGGACGCTGTCTTGACGTCGGCCACTCTGACATGTCCATCGGTGCCGGGATAGACGGCCGTAATGGTACCTTTCGGCCAGCTGCCTCTGGGTAGGTCTCTGTCGGCAATCACGACTATGTCATTGACCTTGACCTCTTTCTGCTGTCGCTGATGCCACTTGGTCCTCCTTGTCAACGTCGGCAGGTATTCACGCAGCCACCTCCTCCAGAAGTGATCGGCTAGCACTTGCACAATCCGCCACTGCTTCCTCATGCACAGCTCAGCCTCATCAAATTCGCCAGGTGCTTGATGGTTGGAGGGCGTACCGAGGAGAAAATGGTTTGGTGTGAGGCTGTCTTCGTCTGTTGCGTCGCAAGACACGTGGGTCAGCGGGCGGCTGTTCAGGAGCGACTCTACTTCAGCAAGCAGGGTGACCAGCACATCTTCACGGGGCGCTCGTGCTGTCAGTACCGCCTTCAGAGCTGTCTTCACTGAGCGCACAAGACGTTCCCACGCTCCGCCCATGTGCGGAGCAGCGGGTGGGTTGAACCTCCATTCTGTACCCTTCGGTGTCAAGTGTCCTTGAATCTTGGTGTGGTCGAAGTCCTGGACAGCTTTGCGAAGTTCCGAGTCCGCACCACGGAAATTGGTGCCGTTATCCGAGTAGATGATGCCTGGTTGTCCTCGCCTGCTAGCCATTCGGCGGATGGCCATGATAGCGCTGTCCGTGGTGAGATCTCGGGCAAGTTCGAGGTGTATTGCCCTGGTGGTGAGGCACGTGAATAGCGCACCATACCGCTTCTTGTGCCGGCGTCCAATGGTTACCTCCATGGGTCCGAAATAGTCGAGACCGCAGTGTGTGAACGGTCGGACGAAAGCTGCAAGTCGGCTGTCTGGGAGGGCGCCCATCTGAGGAACCACCGGCTGCGCCCGGTCGTTCTTGCACTTTTGGCATTCCGTCCATGTTCGACGCACTACAGCTCGCAAGGTCGGGATCCAGTAGCTTCGGCGTATCTCGTTGGTCATGTGCGCTTGTCCGTTGTGCCCGCACCATTCGTGAGTCTGCTGGAGCAGTAGGCGGGTGAACGGGTGTTTTGGAGGTAGAATCACCGGGTCCAGCTCCACCAGGCTGCCAGCCGGGGCCGTTCTGATTCTGCCTGCCATGCGGATCAGCCCGGCTTCATCGATACGCGGCGACAGTGTGCACAAGGTGCTGCTCGTCGCGACGCTTCCCGTCTTCCGCAGGTCCAGGAGCTCTGTCGGAAAGGCATCGGCCTGGCAGCGCAACCACCAGAGCTCTTGGGCTCGCCGGAACTCCGATGGGCGAAGTTCGCCTGCAACTGGTGGCTTTCCTGTCGCTGAGGCCCGCAGATTCCTGATGTACCTGACCACCCATGCAGTCGTTCTCACAAGCTTGTTCCAAGATGAGTACCTCTCGATCTCAGGTAGAGCGAGTGTTGGTGCCTCCCGAGCGGTCGCCTTGAACTCGTTCTTCAGCTCGACGCTGTCATCTTCGCGTGGTGTAGCTGCTCCGGGCTTTTCAACTGGCCACTCCGACTCTGGGTGTCTCAGGAAGTCGGGTCCCTTCAGCCATTTCTCAGCCAATCCGCTGTCGTTACGTGGACGGGTTGCTGCATCAGCTGGGTTCTCATCGGTCGGCACCCAGCGCCACTGGCTTACATCGGTCACTTCCGTAATCTCTCCAACCCGATGAGCCACGAACGGCTTGAAACGTCGGGCATCGGCCTGTATCCACCGTAGCGCTGTTACGGAGTCAGTCCACAAAGTGACGCTGTCGATGCTGATGTCATGTTCGGACTTGATCGTCTTGGTCATGCGGCTGGCCATGACAGCTGCTTGTAGCTCAAGTCTTGGAATGGAGAGTGGTTTTAATGGCGCTACACGTGTTTTTCCCAGCACGAAAGCGACCTGGGCACTCCCGTCGGCGAAGGTGACTCTGAGGTAGGCTGCAGCCGCAAAGGCCGACTCGCTGGCGTCTCCAAAGACGTGTAGTTGAACTTGGGCTCTCTTGGTCATATCTTCACTGTAGGGGCGTGGCACAGACAGCTCGCTCAGCTTGAGTAGCATTTGCCACCACTCTTTCCAGCGTGTCACGAGGTCATCCGGTAGCGGCTGGTCCCAGCTGACTCCGGTGCGCCATATCCGCTGGAGAAGTACCTTTGCCGATACCGTGTGAAATGCCAGGTAGCCAAGCGGATCAAATACTGACATGCACATGCGTAGCACATGTCCCTTTGTCGGCTGCGTCACTTCTGCTTCTTGTGTCACCAGTCGTGCACTTAGCTTGAAGCTGAAGATGTCCTCCCGCGGCATCCATTTGAGGCCAAGGGTCTTCTCGGTCGGGGTGGCCGTTTCACCGCTGTCGATCGTGAGAGCGCTGTCGGACCTGAGCTCGGGTGGCACGCTTGCTAGGACCTCTGACGAGTTGCTTACCCAGCTACGAATGGTGAACCCGCCGGCTTTGTGGATCTTGACGACTTGAAGCGCTCTAGCGACAGCTGTTTCCACTGTTGGCGTTGAATCGAAGTAGTCGTCCATGTAGTGCTTGCGGTTGATTGCGTTGACAGCTTCTTCGTGGTTGTCCCTGAACTCCTCAGCATTCCTCCGCATCACGAACTGGGCCGAGGCAGGCGAGCATACCGCTCAGAACGTCATCGCCTTCATTTGGTACGCGTCCGGCTCTCTGTCACGTTTCATGCCTCGCCAAAGGAAGCGTTGGGATGGTTGATCTTCTTCCCGAATCTGTACCTGGTGGAACATCTGCTGTATATCGCCGGCGAAGGCAATACGGTGCTCCCTGAACTTGAATAGAACGCCGGTGAGAGAATTCAGCAGATCCGGACCCGGAACCAGGGCGTCGTTTAGGCTCACGCCGTTGCTTGAGGCTGCCGCGTCGAAGACTAGTCGCAGCTTCCCTGGTTTGTTCGGGTTCGTGACACCAAAGTGCGGCTGGTACCACTTGCGCTCGTGGAATGCTGTCTCCTCTTCTGGTGTCAGCTTGAAGGCATAACCGGCAGCCAGGTACTGTTCGATCTTACTGCAGTACGCGTCAGCGAAGACTTGATCCCTGTCCATCTTTCGCTCGATGGAGAACAGCCGCCGAAGGGCCATGGGCTTGCTCTCTGGTAGGAGTATGCCACTCTCTCTCCACAGGAGTCCGGTTTCCCAGCGGTCTTCGACTCGTCTGGTGGTCGATTCCATGATCCTCTCAGCTCGCGCTTCCTGTCGGGACCGGATCTTAGTGCTGGTGACCTTGACACCAAACGAGTCTGTGGTGAAGAAAGACTTGACGAGCAGATGTAGGTCGTCATCGAAGCAGCCATCTTTGATTTGCGCTGACAGGCTGCTGTGGGCGTTTTCGGTGCTGAGGTCATCGACTCTGCCGTGGATTGCCCAGCCTAGCTTGCACCGCGTGGCTACCGGCGATCCGGGCGGTCCCTCGACCCACTCTCGGGGCATGATCAGGTCACAATTGTCCTGCCCGATGAGCATTCTGGGCTTCTGCATATCCTCCACTGTCAGATCAGCGTCTCGGAATTGTTTCCAGTGCTGGCAGGTGCTGTTGACTTCGAGGTCTTGCTTGGGTAGATCCAGTGTAACGGTTCGTACATCGTTCAGGTAGAACTCCTGCCCGCTTCCGAACACCGAAACCTCCACCTTCCTGGAGTTGTTGTCAGTCTGGCTGGTGTCGTCCGTCCAGGTCAGTGTCAGCGGGCAGTGCGTCCCCTTGGCGCCGATCTCCTTGGCTCGGCTAGCGTCAAGCAACGTGACTGTAGATGCTTCGTCGAGCAGAGCGAACGTGTGTACCGTCCCTTTCGTGCCTGTGACGTTGATGGGTACTGTGCGCAGTATCACCCTCCCACTGGTAGGTCGTTGAGTTGCGTTGCACGGCGCTGGCTGGTCCCCCGTCCTCTCCTGCGTGCTCGGTTGCGGCAGATGGAGGAGTCGGTGGTGTAGCCTTTCGCACCCGTCACGTCCGCACCGTGCTTTCTTCGGGCAGTCCCTGACTTGGTGTCCACAGCCAAAACAGACGAAGCAGCGGTTCTCATTCTTGATCCACTTCCACCTGTCCTTGACTAGGGCCTTCTTCAAGGTGTTGCAGTTGGCAGCGGAGTGTCCGGCTTTCTAGCAGAAACCGCATTGTTCTTCTCGTGCGGTGAAGGTGTTCCCACGGAGGCCGCCTGGTCGCCTGCCAGATGGCGGCTTTTCAGCTCTGTCAGTGGCGGTGAGTCTTCTGACGTGGCTGATAGCGTCCGCTCGTTGTGATAGCCATTCGGAGAGTGTTGCCAGGGTCACTCCGGTCTGTTGGGTATGGACGAACTCCCCCCATTGCCGCTTCAGGCTGTTGGGGAGTTTCATGATCACTTCCTGCCGCAGGGTGGGATTTGTGAGATGTCCGGTATCGTTCATGAGCTGCATTGTTGCGACGAGGTTGCCGACCGCATTTGCCGTGTCGATGAGGGCCTCGAAGTCCTCTTCTCCAGCTGGCTTCAGTTTCTTGACGCCGTCAATTATGGTCTGTATCACCTGCTCTGGCTGCCCGAACCGCATTTCCAGAGTCTGCATGACACGATCGACGTTATCAGGTACGATGAGCATGGCTTTGACGGTGTCCTTAGCCTTCCCTTTGAGGGCTTTCTGTAGCCTGGCCATATTCTCCGCATTGGAGAATTTGCATTCACTCGTCGATGACGTGAACATATGGCGGAACATCGGCCAGGACGCCGGGTCGCCGTTAAACTCTGGGAGGTCCTTTGCGGTGGACTGTCGGGCGACTATCTTGTGAAGGTCACTGCCAGTATCTTGGGAGCCATGTCTCTGCGTAGCTGTCGTCAGGTGTCCGGCCAAGGCTTCCGCAAGCTGGCTGACAGCTGTCACCACTGAAGTCTGAGCGGCCTGGGCCGGGGTGTGCTCTTCATCTGCGATTGGCTGGTCCCTAGCGCGTGCTGCGGGCGGCAGGTGTTGTGTCGGCTCAGCCTTGTCGCCAAGGGACTCCACATCCTCAGTATCTTTCGGGACGGGTTGGTGGTACTCAGCTGGAGTCCGGCGGTGGTATGACGATGACTTGTCCACAGACCTCGCTCCCCTGAGTTCTGCAGGTCGAGGCTCGTACTCGTGGACGGCGTGGAATCGAGCATCGTTACCAGGACTACTCGTGTCAGTCACGGTATCACGTCTCTGTTCGACTGCCCGGTCTGCAGGGCTACCTCGCGCTGCGCATTCCTCTAGGAACAGCTGGCGCCACTGGTCAGCTTTCCTTTGCTGCTGCTCCGCAGATTGCCTGGCTTGACTCAGGAGCTCACGTAGGTGATCCTTGTCACCCTCCGCGCGCGCAGCCTGCTCCTCGATCTCCTGGAGTTCTTCGCGTGACCGCTGTCTCTGGCAAGCCATCGCCTCGAACTCTACCTTGCGCTGCTCCGATACGCGCTTCATCTTGTCGAGTTCAGCCCGCAGTTCGGTGTTGCAATCATACAAGTCGCTGTTCTCAGCTTGAGCTGTGCTCTTGTGGAGGTCTAGCTCGCGACGTGTTCGCCGCAATTCAGACTGAAGGTGTTGTACGACAAGATCCTTCTCATGAATTTCGTCAGCAGACTGTTGTAAACTTTGCTGCAGGCAATCAATCATCCGGTGTGCGTGACTGAGTGTGTCGTCTTCGTTGGCCTGTGACTGTGCATTGTGTGCGGTTACAGCTGACTGCTCAGGGAGATTCACAGGTTCAGGACTACCCTGCAGTGCTTGGAGCGCTGATGGCGCTAGAGCTAGCGGTGTGGCATCTGCGCGTTCTGCCATGCTGTACGGAATGTGTGAAGAGGCACTAGTACCTTGCTCTACCTGCTCCGTGCGCTGTGTACCGGTACTTACTGAGTCTGACACTAAAACTGAGTTTTTGCCAACTCCTTGAAGTCGCTCTACTGTCCTACCGCTTGTAGAACGGGACTTGACTGTACGTGGGTCGCAGACACTATCTGCACTCAGGTCTATCAAGGCCGGGTCACTAGTTTGCCCTGACTGTACGGATTTAGCAGGGTACAACACGCTCACCTCATCGCTGCCATTTGCAGCTGTGGGCGCTTGCATTTCAGATCGTCGCTCTTCCTCGAACACTTCCTCTCTCATCGCGGGCGATGAAGACTTCGGTGTGCCAGAGCGTCTGGACGCCCTCTCGAGATTCAAGCTGGCCAGGTCAGCCTCCGCCTCTGTGACCCTCTTTCTCGCTTCTAGCAGGGCGCACCTTGCTTCCATCACTGATGGCGCACTTCCTGACGTGCGGCTTGATGCGAGCGACGGTGTCTGCCTGTTGAAGCTGGTTCTTGGACTGGTCGCACTCTCTTCGTCCTCAAACCCCAGTCGCCTGGGAGCAACTCCCTTGGTTGAACGAGCACTCGTTCTTTGTTCCTCCGCCATTCGCGATCCGGCTCGAAGGACCAATGTTTGCGCCGGTATTCTCACTCACAACACAGAGTCTGAGGTTTATAGAATATTATCACTAGGAGAAGACTGTATCCATTGCAAACTGATTGCAATACTTCAAAAAGGCTACCTACTACCTGGTAGTAACAGAAACAGCCAAAGACAAAGAACACAACAACTGCACCAGCAAGCTCTTTCCTTGCACTAACTACAAATAAATCAAAATCAAGCAGCAAAATGCAAATCCGCACGCATGTTTGCCGGAACTGAACTTCCGTAGCGCAGCTGATCATTGCGGCTGCACGGGACGACCATCCCACCACAGTAGGGCAAAGAACTATGCATGGAACTAGCAAAGAATGCATGCAGCACACCAGCATGCTGTCCCTACGCAGACGTCTAGTCTAGCGTGAGCAAGGATGAATAGCATGAGAAACCAGCGGGTGTAGTATGAAAGGCAATGCAGCAGTTATGAATAGGGACATCAACAAGACACAACACACAGTAGTCATGAGCAGGCTGAGGTAACTGAGAGCCGGGGAACAGTACAGACATGTGCACAACAGCACCTAGGTTTACTACTACCCAAGGTTATTCATGTCTTGGTCTAAACTGAGCAAGTTACTAGTGGAGATCTGCGGGATGACTTGGTCGTACCAACAATGACCCTAGGCATTGTTGACAGCTCACAACTCACCACATGCACAACTGAAAGATGCGACAGGGAACACATTCGGAAAAAAATCGAAAGGCTGAAGAAAAGTCAGAAAAGTGTCCTGAAAAGGTAAAAAGTTGCCTTGAAAGAGGGTGCTGGTGTTGCTTTGTAGACAACAAGCACTTTTCACTTTCGCGCGTTTCTCAAAGTGATCGCCATGGCAACTTGCCTGAAAAGTGCCTGAAAAATGGCTTTTTAGACAGGATTTGGTGTAGTGTGGAATCGGCCTAAGGGTCGTTTTCGCTGATTGCGGCTCATATGGCATTTAGTATGTGGGCGACTTCAAAGTTCTATTTTGGTAGTTTGCTTCGGTAGAAACTGTCTAAACTTGATCCAAAGCTCTACTACTATGTTCTGAAGATGTTGCAATCAAGTAATGTAAGACACGTATCTGCCGCATTGGAGCTAGTTGTGAAAACCTTTAGACCATACACTCAATGTACATGTTCAGCTATGGCATTTAGTATGTGGGCGACTTCAAAGTTCTATTTTGGTAGTTAGCTTCGGTGGAAACTGCTAAAACTTGATCCAAAGCTCTACTACTATGTTCAGAAGATGTTGCAAGACACGTATCTGTCATATGGTGGAGTTAGGGGTTCTAAGGCGTTGGACAATGTCCCAGTGCAATGTGCTGATTCTTGAAATTTGGCATCACTTGAAACTTCAAAGTTTTATTTCACGAGTTACCTTCGGTAGAACCTGCTCAAACTTGCTACACAGTACCATTATTAGGTTATGATAGCATAACCATCGAATACAGTGCAAGTCCAGTGTCAAATATGGGCGGGGCTAATATGTGGGACGTATGCGCTGAAATGGGATGATTCCGAAAAGAGAAAAAAGGTCACCTTCTAGCAGAATTCTACCCACTTCTACAGCTTATTATTATTTGCCTCTCCGCGTTTGCATCAGGGTGTGTTACCACAAAAATCAACAAATCGACATAATACACATCCACCCCTAGCATTCGCTCAGGCCGCTCAACAAGTCAAAAGACAGTAAGGACAAGAGAAAGCGAGGGAAGGGTGACAGAGCAGCGGGGTCGAAGGCAGGAAAAAAGAAACAGGAGGCAAAGGATATTGAAGAAATATATCAGATTGTCCATTGAATTCACCATACATCATGTCATGTTCCGTTTGGGCAAATCCGGGCATTCCTCTGCAGGCTCAGGTGCGGAAAAGCTGCCGCCATACTGCTCTGTCCTCTGCCAGGTCCCTGATGTGTGAGAGATCTTTATCTGTCTGCAGCTTCATTCCCTTTGTTGCGAGGTCTGTTCTCAGTATTGTTGGGAGTGTGGAAGGCGGCCGGCCACGGAATTTTTTCTCGTCCTTTGTTTGCCGGAAGTATGATGTCATGGCCATTTGTGCTGGGGACTCCTTGTCCAGTCTGCAGATGCGACCGACTAGTCGCATCCGAGCAGCTTTTACCAGGACAGTTAGGGGCTGTGTCTCTGTTCTGCGGTGGAGGTCATCGTTGCTGATTATCTGTGGGTAGCGGATACCCACAACAACTCTCAGGTGTCTCCGATATGTCAAGTCAAGAGTACACAGCTGAGAGTCTGAGAGGCCCCATGTGCCTGCGTTGTACATCAGCAGAGGCTTGATGAAGGCTTCGTAGAGCCTCACCCGTAGCTTTTCGGAGACCAGATGTCCGCGTGACCACAATGGCCACATCTTGTTGAATGTGCCCGAAGCAATCTGGATTCGGCGTGCGACATCCTCTTTGTCTCCAATAAGGGATCCAAGCTTGCGTGTGCGCCTCCACTCTTCCTCCACTCGGTCCTTCTTCCTCTGGATAGTAGTGCGTTCTGTTTTGGCTTGGTTAACTTTCAGGTCCCAGTCCGCGAGGCAGTCGCCAACAATAGGAAGGATCGAGTCCAGGTACTCAGAACTGGTGCTGACGAAGTCCACATCATCGGCATAACCTAGGGGCGGCGGCAGGTTGAGGGTGATGTCTAGATTAGGTCGAGGTGGAATACAGGAGAAAACATGGCGCAGTGCAGTCTCGAGGTAGATGATGAATGACACGGGTGACAGCGAGTCACCTTGTGGGGTGCCAGATGTTGTTGCAAATGGTCGGCTTTGGGTATTTTTGATGCGTGCTGATAGTGTTGTATCTGAAACCAGGAGCTGGACCAGGCGCACCTCATCTGGCTCCAGGAATGACCGCAACACATTGACGAGTTTCCGGCGACTAAAAGTGTCAAAGGCGATACCCAGAATACTTATACTGGACTGCAGGTGCTGGCAGCGTGCAGCGATCCATCGATGAGCCCATACTACATCTGCAGTGCTTCTATTCGATCTGAACCCACTCTGCATTAGCGATACATAAGCTTGAACTCGGGGGGTTATTCGTGCTAGAACCACTAAAGAAAGTACCTTGCGCAGGGCATTGAGCAGAACAATGGGTCTCAGACTACTTCCCGGGCCTCTTGGTTTTCCTGGCTTCTGCAGCGGGATTAACTCGCCACTGCCAAGTGTCAGGTGTTGTCCTGTCTCAACGCACATGGTGTACAGTTCGGCAAGATATGTGAAAAGGCTGTCAGGCGCATATTTGAATAGTTCTGCTGGGAGTTTGTCTGGCCCAGGTGACTTGTTGTTCTTTAGCCGTGCTGCTGCTCTCCTCACTTCGATCGTCGCGATTGGCTTTTCCATTTCACCCATGTTATAGTCAGCCATGCTCAGTCTCTCTTGGTCGCTATTTGAGAGAGCAGCGTGGAAGTGCTCTGCTATCTTTTCAGCCATTTCCTCAGGTTGGACTATTAGCCTGCCATCTTGGTCAGCCACAACGGCCTGCTTGGTTCTGTTCTTGTGTAGCTGTTGTACAGCTCTGAAAATTCGGGCATCATCCTTCAGCTGTTCGATCTCTGATACTTTTCTGTCTAGGTCTGCAGATGCACATTACTTGGCTCTACGCCGCAGTTGGTGCGAGACTTGGTTTCTCTCCTCACGGAGTTTCTGTATCTGGCGGGTGTCCTGAGCGTTCATCGTGCGGAGTCGCAGATTTTTCATCTTTTCCGAGAGTTCTTCTATCACCGTATCCCAACCGTGTCTAAAACGCCGTGTCAGCTTCAGTTCTCCCGCAGCTGCCAATCCCGAGGCATGCATCATTCCTGCAACTGAAGTCCAGCCTTCATCAAGGTGTTCCTTCTCCAGGGGAGGTGGTGTTGTAACATGCTTTTCAACTTGGTCCTGATAGCGCTGTCTTCTCTCTGCGCTGCCTGTCAACTGCTGCACATCCATATTCTTCCGACTGTCTTGCGGGGTATACTTTCTCGGTGACGTTAGGACGTAGAATTTTGGTAGGTCAAAGGTAGCAATCACCAAGCGGTGATCGCTACAGGTAGACGTTCCAGCATATGACCGTGCATTCAGAAGAAGGCTCTTCTGGGAATTTTGGCACAGTACGAAATCAATTTGATTATACACCTTGACCGTGATTCCTGATGCTAATCTCCGAGTCATTGACCATGTTGTGGTATGACATGCTCTGTGCTGAAAAGCTGTGTTGGCAGCAAATAGTTGATGGGACCCACAGAATTCTGCCAAAGCAAGACCAGTGTAGTTTCGTCGTCCGCGTCCATGCTGGCCAATGCAGTTGAATGCTGCACTAGGTCTGCCCAGTTTAGCGTTAAAATCCCCAGCTACAAACAGTAGACTGGATGACGATTCAATATCTGTGAGCGCCCTCTCATGACTGTCGTAAAATAGAAAAAAACTCCTCCAAATAGTCATGCGACGTCGCAACAAGTCTCGACGTTGGCGCGTAGACGTTCACTACGGAAATGACGCTTTTAGCTACTTTGAATTGCGCTACTGCGACTCGGTCGGAAACCACCCAGTGACGAACAAATTTGTCCGACAGACGCCGTGACACAACGAAACCGAGCCCGTAGTGACGGCTCGTTGAAGGAAGCAGCAGCAAGCGGTAGCCGTCCTGACAATAGTCGACCCCCTCATGCGCTTTCGTCTCCTGCAAGCAGGAAACGTCCAGCTTGTAGTTTTTCGCGTCCTCGATAATTTGGTGTTGTTTACTCCGAGAACTTAGTCCACGCACATTGAAGCAGGCCAAGTTGAATTTATTCAGGCCTTTGAAACCTCTATTCTCACTCATTGTCCGTTACCGACTCTGTCCGTTGAACGTTTAGACCAATATCATCCCGAGCAAGAAGCAGGAGATGGAGAGAAGAGTCACCCGTCTCTCAAACCAAACAGCTTATGCTGATATTTAGCAAGTATACTACTGTCCTGATGTTGGACATCAAGAAAAAGGGGGTAACTACCAGTGCTACGGCCAAAAAAGTGGTTTTCCGGTATTTTTTGACCTAAATTGGCAATTGTGGGTATGCTATGTTTGGCCCCTTCCCCGAGTGAAACCGGCCGGTAGAACTTGATAAAAATTTGTCTCCGTACACTAGATATCCAACGGAACAAAGTACAATCGTTTGTAGCCACGTTTCAAACAAAAAATTGGACCCGAGGGGTAGGAGCCACCTTAAGGAGAATCAACGATAGAGAGTGCTCAACTTACATCGGTCTTTGCAGACATCGTGTCAGGTCGGAGATCTAGTAGATACTTGACGAGTTCTAGATGCCCTTCAAAGGCAGCGCCATGAACAGGAAGGTTACCGTTCTGTGGACAGGTAGCACACATAACCAGACATTCCTATACGTTATCCATCAAAAAAGTACTTATATTGAGTATAATGCACAATCCACTACGAAGTGAGGCAATCTCACGCACAACATTGTGATAAGTCAATTGACAAAGTTGTTTACAAGCTAGTGCTGGAAAACCCCAATACATGCTTTAGTGCTGGGCACGAGATTGGTTAGTTTGCATTCTTTTTGAGCCAAAGTAATGTTGCAATATTCCTCCCGTGGGTTGAGGGGCATATGATGGGCGCAAGTATTCAATACTAAGAACTCTTTTGAATCATTTGTGGACATCTCTGCTCACATCAAAACATTCCTGTTGATGGGTGTTGAATTGATGATGAGTGTGTCCATGAAGTCACATCAGAAATGATTGAGACCAATGTTTATTTGAACTGGTGTGCTGAGCCAATATAGTTATGATGAAGAAAGGAAAAGCTAGGTTTGTCATAACAGTTTGTCATAACTCGTAATATTTTGTCCTTTTCCTTTCTTAATCACAACCAATGTTTATGTGAACCAAATGCATAATGGAGGTGCTTTGTGCAGCTATCAGTGCCGGCCAGGAAAGTCACCAATAGTCACAGGTACTTTTGGAGTAAATCAATCGGTGGGGTTGCTGTTTCGGCCTGATACTCCCCAGTAATTGACATATAGCTAGCACAGTAGTCTTCATTGGAAAGAAGAGTGCTGTAGGAGTAACTGACTACAGCAAGGAGAGTCAATGATGGAGATTGCTTAACTTTTTGTACGCGTCGGGAGTGGAAGCAAACTTTTGAGCTCCGATAGTGATATCTTTTTCTGTAGAAACTGGCTAGAGTGCGTGTAGAACTGTTATAAAGATGTCTAGAATCTGTTCCATTCAGCTGAATGAAGGGTGGTCCTCGAAGGATCATGCCTTTTTCATCAGATTTCTTCTGTCAGGTGGTGTAAGACCTGATGATATCAAGCAGGTGGATCTGAGTGGAAGGCGCGGATTCTGTAGAGTTTCGTTTTCCTGCACTGCCGTTAGGGACGAGGTGTTGTCCAGAGGGTTAGAATTTGAAGGAAAACAACTAGTATTAGTAGTTGGTGATGGAGCAGTTGTGTCCGTGCATATATTTGGTGTAGCGAATGACACCCCACTGTCCGCCATTACGTCCGCGATGGAGAAATTTGGATCCGTCATTGGTGTTCCGAAGCGGGAAACAAAGGCTGTGGAAGGCTGCACCTTCACAACTGGTACTACATTCGTAAACTTAGTACCCACAGCTATCGTACCCTCCACCATCATGTTGTCTGAGTCCCGTCAGAAACTGCGCGTTTGGCACAGGGGTCAAGTTCCCACGTTCTTCAAGTGTGGCTCCAGTACTCATATCGCCAAACTCTGCACCCACCAGGCCAGGAGGCCCAGTCCGTACGCTGATGCAGCAGCCAGCGCGCTGAAGGGTACTCAGGGCCAGGCCCAGGGGACACTGGATGACACAGTGGGTGCAAATTCAGAACCAACAGTGAGTACAAGCCAGTCAGCAAGCAGTACAGCTTCAGCACCTGAAACTGGGACACATCAAGTTTCTTCACCTAGTCAGGAATCAGCCAAACCAGACCAGCTTAACAAGGAGCTGGGAACTGCTCAATGCCCTCCAGATGACAAGGGAGGCTTTGTGGTGGCCAAGGGACGGAAAACCTTCAGAGTGCCAAAATAACTTGTCGACTTTTCAGGAAATGAGCTACTGACCGACTCGGACATGGAACAGGAGGACATGGGTAACAGCCAGAGCAACGACCGGCATATGACAGTTGGCGAACTCACCATATCGTATTAGATCATGACCAGTGTAGCTTTCTTAAAATATGTCTGTAGCCTTAGGAGAAAAGTAGCAGAAATTGAAGACTTTATCTCACATCAGTACACATCCTAGGCGTTGCGAAAACTTGGCTGTCAGCCGATGTAACAGACGGAGAAGTAAACATTCCTCATTTCAGTGTGTTCCGCAAAGATCGGGAAGGAAGTCAAGGAGGCGGTGTTGCCTTCTACTGTCATACGTCCTTGCAAGTCCGTCGAAGACGTGACCTCGAGTGTGAGCTGGAGATGCTGTGGCTGGAGATTCTAGCCCCAGGTCGACCAGGCAATGAGACGGTCTTACTGGGCTGCTGCTATCGACCACCTAGTGAATCTGCGGGCTACTGGGATGGGCTGGAGTCAAACCTAGAGACTGCCTGCAGTGGACCGCAGACCACAACTGTGCTAGTAGGAGACTTCAACGTAAACTTTAATGATGCCCATGCTGTGACTCCTTTGCATCATGTGCTCAACCAGTTTAACCTTCGCAACCACGTCACATCTCCTACCCGAGTAACCAGCAGTACTGCCACACTACTGGATCTATTCTTGTCTACCACCCCGATCCAGGGTGTTTGCGAGACCATACATTTGGATATCAGTGACCACTCTGCAATACTTGCCAGGCTGCCAATTTCAGCAAGTCACCACTTGAAGGGACAGCATCTACGCAAGACTCGCTGTTTGCACAAAGTGGATTGGAATATGTTTACATGTGACCTGGAGAAGACGCTAACTACCTGTGACTCTGTCTGTGTGGATGTGCTTGCGTCGTCACTCACTGCGGGAATCCAGACCACTCTAGACAAACATGCTCCACTTCGGGAACGGCGCCGCAAAT